CCAAGGATCCGCACAAAATTACGTTAACCAAACGAAAATTACCAGACTTTACGTTAATAAACAAAAAATTTAACATGTATCCCTATCAATTATATCACAGCTTTTCTTGTATCGCGTGCTTCCTGCACGGGTCTGTGCCCGAGGGATGCAAATCCGGCGTCCTACGCCCGGATGCCACCACCACCAGCAAAACCACTGCGAGCTGTGACTGGGAGCAATTGTCCGCTCTTCTGCGGCACAAGTCTCCCGTCTAGACAAAATACAAAAGAAAACGATAAACAAAAAATGCCTCCGCCTGGACCACCAGTCTCAATGTCTCTGGTGCAATTGCAGGCCGTAATATAGGCCTCGCAAGGCACCTTTCGTGGAGGCTGGATAGCCCAGGACGTGACTGGACGTCCTCATCCCGATGAAATTTTTTTTTTTTTTTAATTTGGGCGCCATATTGTTACGGAACTGCATATTCCCTGGGCAATGCCGGACTAGCTCAGTGGATGCCCAGGGGGGGTAGGAACCTATGCCCGCAGTCCGCACAACAAAATACCGATTAATCGGACGTCTCAACAAAACTCCTCACTAACAAATAACACATCTCTAACAAATAAATGTAAACAAACCAAAAAAAGACGACTTTTGCGGAATGGTGGCATAGATGGAGTCGCCACGACGCTCCCTCCCATCCAGTGATGCCTCCTGGTCATCTCGGGGCATCACCCATTCTCCGGCGGACCGGAGTCTATTCCAGGCGGTCTGGCGACCGACTCATCTCCCCCAGGTAATAACGCTTACTCGGTGTTCATTGCGCTTTTTTTAATATGTTATGTCGTTTCAGGTTAACTTATACATGGCTGAAAACCCCAAATAAATTAGAAGTCTTCATATGCTGAGTTTTTGTAAGAAACTGATTTTATTCCATTCAAACCCTAGCTTATATAGCTAACATGAGAATGTACATTGTAGATCTTAGTTCTAGACCCACGCATCGGACAGTTCCCGATCGTGGGAAGTATTTAAAGTACGATAAGAGTGCAAACAGTCACCCCGAAAGAACATATCTTAAACAAACCCAGACCGCTCGCAGGAGGTCATATTTCGGGTTACTTGTTACATAGGCTCAAGTGGCGGTTGTATTAATAGATAGATATGGTGCTAGGCCGTGCTCTGCTGCTGGGACTTTATCGCTAACAGATGCTTCTTATCTAAAACCGTGTTCATGTTTGAACAATGGCAGAGTACGCGCCTCCCAGATCCTCAACGTGGTCGCGACCCTAGCCAGAGATGCGCTCGCGCCAAGGCTGCCGCCAAAGGATCAAAAGAAGTGGCCAAGGAGAAATGGCCAACGACACACCGGCCAACAAATTACTTTACGTACCCCTTTCCTACCTCGGGTCCCTACTGGAGCTCCAAAAGAAACCACAAGGGTGGGTCACTCGAAAATTCCTTCTTCTTTTCACCCTAAGAATTTTCAATCCGCAGCACTTGTGTTGCACAAATCCCGGACACAAGGCACGAATACGCGGAGAAAAAGGTACGGCGACAAGTGAGTCACAGAATATAACACAAACTATTAACTTAGAACAAATAACTTAAATATTATTTATTTTATTTATTTCTCGTACATTTCCGGCGGCTGAGAACCATGGCCAGAATGGGGGCATATAACGCCCAGGACTTGATGACTAGCGGAATTCGGCCAGGACTAGCAGCAATAAAATGTAGGCCCTACAAGCGGCATGAACATTAGCCGACCACCTAGGTTAGGGCCGGCCGAATTTTGCTCGGAACGGACTCACCGCTGTCCTCCAGTTGCCGTTGGGTACGCCGGTTGCTTCCGGGTTCGGCTGATGCTGGCTTGTGCCAGCGCAGGTGCGCTGGGACCTGGTGTCGCGCGGTGGTCGCGGGAAGTGAGATCGCCCAGCCAAAATCCACCTAACGCTCGGAGACGCGAATGTACCAACACAGGAACACAGAAAAAACCCCGTGGCCCGTGTTATTCGTCACGGCCACGCTGTAAGAAAAAAAACCATATATTTCTTTTAACGATCACTGGCTATTTTCCTTCGCGCCACTTCACTCACGTTTTTTCTTTTTTTAAATCTTAGATTTCACTTTTTCTCTAAGATGCTAACGCGCCGGCTGACGTCCCGCTAATCTTTCCCTCTTCCAGTCTCCTGCCTCCCTATATAGGCTCCGTTGTCCGAGTCCCCATTTTCGGCTTACCGTAATCTTGGGGCGCTCAGTGCAACGGCCTAGTGCAAAGGGTAAAAACCCTTTCTCTTACTTTTGATATTCCCGGTTCGCTCACCAATCCCTGCTTCCCCCTGTTCCTACCGACCCTACCTCTATCGATATATCGATAGCCCTCCAGCCCATTCCGATTGAAAATGCAATAATATTCAAATTAAGAAATGTTCCAATTGATCAAATTTGAAAATATTAGCATATTCTAAAAAAGTTTAATAATATTTGAATTCGCATTAGAATCAAAACAAATTTGAATTCTATAAAATTATTTCACTAAATTTTATTTTTATATTAGATACTACAAATGGTTAATTTACATAAAATGTACATATGTACATACATATATAATCATGCTTGCTCAGGTAATCGTAAAATGTATTTTGTTTTCGATTTGGTCGAAATCGTTTGTTTTCGTTTTTAGCTGCTCGGGTTTAAGTCTAGTACTCTGACGAGAAAAAACCGCTGTCTAAATTAGATTTTATAAAAATCAAAGACTCGGCTTTTAGCTAAAAACAACAAAAGAACTTGTCAATAGACAAGCAGCAGCTGTGGTGACGATCGTAATGAAAACAAACTAAACCAAAGGGGAGATTCGCCCCAAAAAAGCCCACGCCTCCATACGTAAAAGCTTTAAAGCTTGGCTTATGGCAAGTCTGAAGAGACTTGCATGCCAAACGACTGGTTAAAAACGACAAAAGAACTATTGCCGATTTTCAGGGTTTGCTTTTGCCTTTACATCGAAACTTACGATTCCCAACGAGTCTAAGCCAAGATTGAAGGTAAAGTACCAAGAAAATCATCAATAGTCAGCAAGTGGTCTGATGAGTTTGGGTAGCTCCAACGAAACGATCGTCACCACAGCTGCTGCTTGTCGAGTCTTTGATTTTTATAAAATCGAAGCCGGCTATGACCTCAAGTCCTGCAATTTCGAATGCTAACAAATATAGGTCGCTGCTAATAAAAACAAAAATATTAATAAATATGGCATTAAAATGTCCTGTGTGGGTTAAATTCCATATTACGGGCTTCCCCTTGACAGCCCCTATCAATGCTACTTTTCTCCTTCAACTTTCCCTCCATTAGGGGTGTCTAAATAAATCAAATGAATTATTTAGACTGCGCGATATCAGCTGTTTACTATTTTGATCTGGCAACGCCATTCAATTTTCGCAGGCTTCATTTTCGTCGTCAGAGTACCGGAAAAAACGACGTGGCTAAAAGTTTTTCTTCTTCTTTTTTCGATACCGTTATTTTTATATGGAGTTTGGCCCATGATACAATTATACAAGGTAGTCCCGTCGGCTGCTGAAATCGTTCGGATTTTCAGTGCGTGCTCGCTTGTTGAAGGGAAAGGTTGTGTGCGGACGCATTTTTTTTCGAGTTTTTAACCCTTAGTTGGAAATGACTTTTTGCAACTGTTGCCGACGGCATGTGCACGGCGTGAAATTTTTAATTAAAACTCGTTTTATTGTATAATTATTAAAAATAAAATTACTAAAAATATTCCAACTCGTTTTATTACAGAATTATTAAATATAAAATAATATTACAAAATATTCAAACTCGTTTTATTATAGAAAGCGACTTCAACCCTCATCCGAAACCTAAGGGTTAAAACTCACACTCTATTGTCGTCCCACTCGCACTCATTTGTCTGAACTGCTCTCACTCGCACTCATTGTTATAAGTTGTAGTGTACCAGATGTTGCCGACGGGACTACCTTGTATAATTCTATCATGGTTTGGCCGCTGTCTAAATTTATACAGCGGATTTTTCTCGTCAGAGTACTAGGCTTTACGACAAATTTTTGCCATCGGAATGTTTATTTTTCTCATCGTTTCTTACTGCTCAAGCAGTTGACTTGGCATCTAAGGCATCTAAGATGCTGCCACATTTCTCACAGTTTTAATTTCGGTCAATTTTGACCATTTAAGTAATCAAATTTAATACCATTATTTATAAACAACATTCTTGGAGCTTCATTAAAGTTATTAAAGTATTTTTTCATATTCAATAAGTATTTTTGGTTGTTTCGTTCCACCAACAGTTGGCAACCTTAGCGATAACTTTTTTCGATGGACTTATCGACTTCTTGCCAAAATGTAAAACTTGTTGAACACGGCAAAAATTTTATTAAATCTAGATGGGGTCAGAAATAATAAGTTCAATAACCAGCGAAATGAAAATAAAATAAAATAATATACTTTTCAATTACAATTTTCTTCATTAAAACCGTATTTTTTTATTGGTCCAAATCTAGTATCTAGTATATTTTTTGTAGATCCAATGATTTTTGCGGCAATTAAGTAGCTAATGCCTTATTCTAATGCATTATACGCTATAGCGCTTTCAAATCTTTAATGAAATCCTAATTAATGCACTAATGTCATAATAGTATTAGTGAATTGGCTACTATACTTATCAATTACAATTTTCTTTATTAATGCAGTATTTTGGTATCGTTCCAAAATTCGTATCTTAGTTATTTTAAGTAGATATATCGATTTTCGTGTCTAAATCTTTGCCAATTCATTAAAATGTAAATTAGAAGTGACATTTAGTCGTCTTCCTCGCATTTCTGTAAAACTCTATAGATCTGTTAATACTATAATGAAATTTCTAATTAATGCGACTGTGTCAAAAGTATTAAGCTGTTGCGCCCTAGTCTGAACAGGATATAAATAAAAATGCAAGCAATTAAAGTGTGAAAAGACAAGGAGTCTGCATAATCGATAGTGACATTGATTTTTTTTTTCAGATCTAATAAATTCTTGTATGTACTAACTGGAATTTGTAATAGTGCTGAATAAATAATTTGTTTTGGTTTTTTTATCGCTTAGTCAGAAGTAGTGCATTAACCCTTAAGCTGCTTGCGGACGTGGGCAACATCTCTAAGCTAAAAAAAACTGGTGGACCAAAGGTAGTTTCAATTTCTGTTGGAAACTTTCGCCTTTCGGCACCTATGGCAGAAAGTCAGCAACTTGTGCTTCATCCCAAGCTAGAAACCATGTCGGGAGATCAGAAAGTTTACTTGAAGGGGCATTCCTCACAGTATGTGAAACTAAATGTGGGTGGCGGGTTGTATTATACCACCATTGGTACACTAACTAAACATAACGATACAATGTTAAGCGCAATGTTCAGTGGAAGAATGGAAGTGCTCACAGATTCAGAAGGTATGTACCACAGACTTGGTAAAACTGCATTTATGACAATATCATTCAGAAAATAATAGAGTTGGTCTTACAGGATGGATTTTAATTGACCGCTGTGGAAATCACTTTGGTATCATTCTCAACTTTTTACGCGATGGTTCAGTTCCGTTGCCTGAAACAAACAAGGAAATTGCCGAGTTGCTTTCTGAAGCCAAATACTATTGCATTACAGAACTGGCATTATCTTGTGAACGCGCATTATTTGCACACCAGGAGCCAAAGCCAATTTGCAGAATTCCTTTAATAACTTCGCAGAAGGAGGAGCAGTTAATTATAAGTACATCTTCAAAACCTGCTGTTATTCTAGTGGTTCAGCGGCAAAACAACAAATACTCTTACACAAGCACATCAGATGATAACCTGCTTAGGAACATAGAACTTTTTGATAAGCTATCATTGCGGTTTAATGAACGAATTTTATTTATTAAGGACGTTATCGGTCCAAGTGAAATCTGTTGCTGGTCATTTTACGGACACGGCAAAAAGGTAGCTGAAGTGTGTTGCACATCAATAGTTTATGCAACAGATAGAAAGCACACAAAAGTAGAATTTCCAGAAGCGCGTATTTACGAAGAAACCCTGCAGGTATTGCTATATGAAAATCGCAATGCTCCAGACCAAGAGCTTATGCAAGCGACGTCTTCAGTACGCGTGGGTACTGTCAATGGAACCAGCATGCATCAATATACCAGCGATGAAGAGGAAGAACGTACTGGATTAGCGCGGTTACGATCCAATAAACGGAACAACCCGTCCTGAGTTAAATGTGTTTTTATTTTTAAGTGCATAAATATATAATTTGTTGATATCTAAAATCTATTCCATCTATCTATTTCGTTTCGTCATAGAGGAATTGGTTTTTTCTTGTTAGTGGTGCTTGCAAAAATTGTAAATCTTTTAACCTTTACAAGCTTCAACAAAGCAAATACACTACTGGCCGAAATAATAAGTACATGCGTATGTGGTTTGTTTCAAGTCCTATAAAATTTGTTTGATAAACTGAAGAAGAAAACCCACTTTATTTTTAGTTTCCGTACTTATCCCAGAATATAATAATAACTGCCTAAAAGATTTTACATTTCAAATTTAGAGACAGGGGTCAATTTTATCCAAAAAGCATGAAAATGGGTTGGCCAAAATAATAAGTACACCCATTCTTCTAAGCCTAGAACTCGGAACGTATTAGATATTTTGCATTTCTTTTTTCTTATAAGTAAACTTAGATTAGTATCCAATAAAACCACATTCGTTTTAGGTATTATTTTTATTTCGCTATTATTTTTGGCATTCTAGCAAGAAGTCTGTTGCAAGTCACTACTAGAAACTCAGACCATGTTTCTTCAGCAAATCTTCAAAATTTTTAAATGTATTGGTTACAATACGACGTTTTAAGTTTCCCCATAAATTTTTGATTAGGTATGAGTTCGGAAACTGACTTTTCCAACCCATGACGGTTACTTTTTTGTCCCTAAACCAGGCCATGATGACTTTTAAGGTTTACTTTGGATCGTTATCTCGTTGAAAAATCTATCGGAAGGGCATGTTTCTCTAAGCATATGGTTAGAAGATGCCAGTTAAAAAAGTTTTATTTTCGAATTCGGTCGTAATACCATTTATGAGATGTATTTGCACAACGCCATGACAGGAAAAACAGCCCCTGACCTTTATGCATCTGTCTCCGGGCTTAACTTTTTTTTCGCGTTTCAAAGCTCAATTTTTTGACTTTGGTTTGACGTACAAAACGTCTAGAATCGTTTTCAAAAAGAAATATTTTTGTTTCATTGCCCCAAAGTATTTTGTTTCCACCTCCGGTTCAGACCATACCAAAAAAATGTTGCAAAGCTTTTGCTTCATCTGAAAAAATTTTCCTTGAAGTAATAGAACCTTTTAGGGTATACGTCCTTGTAATCCTGTCTCATGCAGTCTACGACAAACTGTTCGAGCTCAAATTTAAATGTCAATTTCGCCGGAAATGGCCTTGGATGACCAAACAGGTCTTTTTTGGCAAGAGAGAGGTAACTGTTATGAGATGGTCAAGTCAGTCTCCTGTCATAAACCTAAACTAAATATTGTGGGGAAACTTAAAACGTCGAATTGTAACCAAAACAATTTAAAATGTTGAAGATTTGTGAAGATTTGCTAAAGAAACCTGGTCTCAGCTTCTAGTACTGACTTGCCACAGACTTCCTGCTAGAATGTCAAAAATAAAAGCAAAAGTTACCTAAAACGAGTTTATTTTTATTGGATACTAATCTAAGTTTACTTATAAGAAGAAAAAAGTGCAAAATATCTAATACGTTCCGAGTTCTAGGCTTAGAAGAATGGGTGTACTTATTATTTTGGCCAACTCATTTTCATGCTTTTTGGATAAAATTGACCCCTGTCTCTAAATTTGAAATGTAAAATCCTGTAGGCAGTTATTTTTATTATCTGGAATAAGAACGGAAACTAAAAATTAAGTGGGTTTTTTCCTTAAGTTTATCAAACCAATTTTATAGGACTTGAAACAAACCACATACGCATGTACTTATTATTTCGGCCAGTAGTGTAGGTTTGGTTACATTTGAAATGCTCTCTCTATAAATCAGTGGAGTCCGGTCAAACTGCTCGTTTATCCGAAAGAAAGGTTATAGATTGTCGGAAAATGGACATTGCCAGGGTCTGTAATACTTTTCGTTGATTGCAAAATGTTTAAAATTGCAGTGGTAAATATTTTATTATGTATTAATTTAGAAGAATAAAACTTCATCTTTATTGTTTGCTTTATGTTTTTATACTCTTGCAGGGTATTATAATTTTATTCAGAAGTTTGCAACGCAGCGATGGATAATTTACCGACCATTTAAATTATAAACGAACGAAAAATATGTAAAAAAAAAGCTTCGCTGTTTGTCAACATATTTTTATCCTTGCGATATGGTCATTTTGTATTATTTCAGATTTTTAGTTTTAATTTTTTTTTTTTAATCTGACGCCTATATCATATACAGGCCTGTTCTAGTTTCCACTCGGAAGTGAATTTGATAACATTTGCGGATTTCCCTTTAACATAAGCGAATTTCCCTTGGTGATTTAAGGAATTTTTATACCCTTGCAGGGTATTATAATTTCAGTCAGAAGTTTGCAACGCAGTGAAGGAGACCTCTCCGACCCTATAAAGTATATATATTCTTGATCAACATCAACAGCCGAGTCGATCTAGCCATGTCCGTCTGTCCGTCTGTCTGTCTGTCCGTCTGTCTGTCTGTCCGTCTGTCTGTCTGTCTGTTTCTACGCAAAAAACTGAGGGACTAGTCTCAGTTTTAAAGCTATCTGAATGAAACTTTGCATATAGTCTTCTATATACTCTCACTGCTATATATGTCGGAACGGGCCGGATCGGACGACTATATCATATAGCTGCCATACAAATGTTCGATACATTTTTAGAAAAAAAATTATAACTTGGCTGTTTTTCAATATTATTCCATCATTTTTGAGATATAGCCATTTTATATTATTCCAGAATTTTGGTAACAATTTTATGAAAATCGGACCACTATATCTTATAGCTGTCATAGGAACAATCGGGAAATTAATCGAAAACAAGAAAGGAAGCTAACTTCGGCACGCCGAAGTTTGTATACCCTTGCAGATTGGTTTTGATGTTTATTTTATAGATTTAAATGCTGAAAACACTCACAAAACAGAGTTTCATTACATTTTACCTATACTTATTATGTTTACAGTTTGACAGTTACAGTTTTACATTCCCAGCTTTATATATTTTCACATTTACCGATCGCTTCTATGGCAGCTATAAGATATAGTTGTCCGATTTTTATGAAATTTATACCAAAATTCAAGAATAATAAAAAAAACTTATATCTCAGAGTAAATAAAAATGCGTTGAAAAACAACGAAGCTATAATTTTATTTCTATTAATTTCCCGATCGTTCCTATGGCAGCTATATTATATAGTCGTCCGATTTTTATAAAATTTTTACCAAAATTCTGGAATATTATAAAATGGCTATATGTCAAAAATGATGCAAAAATATTGAAAAACAGCCAAGTTATAATTTTTTTTCTAAAAATTTATCGAACATTTGTATGGCAGCTATATGATATAGTCGTCCGATCCGGCCCGTTCCGACATATATAGCAGTGAGAGCCTATAGAAGACTATATGCCCGTTCCGACATATATAGCAGTGAGAGCATATAGAAGACTATATGCAAAGTTTCATTCAGATAGCTTTAAAACTGAGGGACTAGTTTGCGTAGAAACAGACAGACGGACAGACAGACAGACGGACAGACAGACAGACGGACATGGCTAGATCGACTCGGCTGTTGATGCTGATCAAGAATATATATACTTTATAGGGTCGGAAACGTCTTCTTCACTGCGTTGCAAACTTCTGACTGAAATTATAATACCCTGCAAGGGTATAACAATTATAACTTCGTTGTTTTTCAACGTATTTTAATCTACTTTGAGACATGAGCTTTTAGTATTATTTCAGAATTTTGGTAACAATATTATGAAAATCGGACAACTATATCATATAGCTGCCATAGAAGCGATCCGCAGATGTAGAGAAAATGTAAAGCTGGGAATGTATAACTGTAACTGTCAAACTGTAAACATAATAAGTATAGGTAAAATGTTATGAAACTCTGTTTAGTGTCTGTTTTCGGCATTATAATTTTTGATATAAATATGAAAACCCATTTGCAAGGGTATACAAACTTCGGCGTGCCGAAGTTAGCTTCCTTTCTTGTTTTTTTTTTTTAATTTCCCTTAAATTCTCAAACAAAATCAGCTGGTCGCTTTTAACAAAAGAGTTTGCCTTGTCTAAGATTTGCTAAAAAGGGGCTCATTAAATTTTGGCCCGCTGTAGTCTCCAACTCATAGATAGTAATGAAGCACTAATTTTACTAATAAAATCGAAGAAATAAGCATTTACGGCTGGAAATAAACACTTTGAAATATTTGTAATCGCAATCTGTTCTGGTGGCAAAATGCTGCAGAGTAGAGTTGCCAAGGGGTTTAGAAAAAATTCCCTTCGCATAACATTTTCTTCAGTTTGTAGATTAAATTGGCTGGTATTTTAAACAAAAACACGTTTTTATATATTTTACCCTAATAGCAGATCTTTTAATTGTAAAACAACATAAAAAGTAATTGTTCAAAATTAATCTTAAACATATGCCTTTTTTTGAAACGCTGACAACCCTTAAATGGTCCCTCTCAAATACGACACAGCGGCGGCTGATTTGCAATAATGTTGAAGGCTAGGCCGATTTTAAGGTGCACCCACAAAATAATTATTTATAAATCAAGTAGTTTAGTATTAGCTAATTCAATTATGCAATAATATTCCTAAAACCCCTAGGAATAGATTACAATTAACATTTGTAATATACATAATCGCATTGTATTGTAAAATAATTAATTTCTGATTTTGCGGATTTGAATCCGCCGGCCAAATGGCACACGGAAAGTTTCCAAACGTTTCGCCTGCAAATTACCAGAGACTTAACAGAGGGAAATCCGAATCCGAATAAATTTTGCGGAAGTGGAAACTAGAACAGGCCTAATAGTTGCCACAGGAACGATCGAACAAATTAATAGAACAAAAATTATAACTTTGTTGTTTTTCAACATATTTACTTGATGTGAGCATTTTGTATTATTTCAGAATTCCGGTTTATATTTTGAAAAACTAGATATTGCTTATTGTAATGACCGGCATGGCTAATCGAATAATTATTTATTTGATCAAATAAAAATGTTTGAACGTTTTCCGTTCTGTTACTCGCTAGACCGACGC